CCCCCACGCACCCTGACCGAAAGCCGCTACGAGCGGCAGCAAGCGGAGCGACGCAGGGCGTTACCTCCCATCTCCCTGTCGAGCGGCGGGTCGTCGTCCGCCACGGAGAAGTCCAGAGATGCTCCGGCGATTTCCAGCATGTCCTCGTCGCTAGTGCTGCTCTGGAAACTCCCCCGTCGATAGCCTTTCTGCTCCATGGCCAGAGCTGCCAAACCTGGGAGGAAAGGGACATTTTTCAGAGCACAAGCAGGAAGCCTCGTTCTCTAAGTCAACGCGACGGACGCCCGCTTGGCCGTCTGTCCTGAGGACCGGGAGCCCACGCTGCTCTTCCCACGGCGAAGGAGAAATGAGGCGATAGCACCTGAAGTTTGGGCTAGAACAAGCAACTGCTCACGACAAAACTGGGTGTTTACAACCCCAAGCAAAGCTCTTGCACTAGATTCCATGCTGCCACGTGCCAGACGCAACCAGCAAGTCCCAGTGTGTCCAGTTCAGATGCCACGCTAACACAGCAGCGCCGGGGTGCCCATGTTCTTCACAAAAAACAGGTTTAGAAAACTTTGCACACCCACGCCAAGCCCTCTCCCAGCTGCGCCGTCCCACGTCACCATCACCATGGGCCATGCCCGGCTGCCCCAGAGCCCCGTGAGAGCCAGGGTCGCTGCGAAAGTTAAGCATCACACGGAGCCCACCACCCGAGAATGGCCCCCAAGTTACCACTGCCTCTGCGACTACGATCTCAAACACCCGAGCAGCCCGCGTGCCTCCGATAATGTTTCTCTCCGTAGAAAACCAATCATATTTCACAGAATCCCAGCATGGTCGGGGCCTCCCTGGGCAGCCCGGGGCAGGGCTCCGTCACCCTCAGAGGGAAGAAGTTCTTCCTCGGGTTCAGCTGGAGCTTCCTCTGCTTCAGTTTGTGCCCGTTGCCCCTTGTCCTGTCGCTGGGCACCACTGGAAAGAGATCCTCCCCGTCCTCCTGACCCCCACCCTGCAGATATTTAGAGGCATTTCGAAGGTCCCCTCGCAGCCTTCTCTTCTCCAGGCTGAACAAGCCCAGCTCCCTCAGCCTCTCCTCGTAGGGGAGATGCTCCAGTCCCCTCATCATCCTCGTAGCCCTCCGCTGGGCTCTCTCCAGTAGCTCCTCATCTTTCTTGAGCTGGGGAGCCCAGAACTGGACACAGCACTGCAAATGGGGCCTCCCCAGGGCAGAGAAGAGGGGGAGGAGAACCTCCCTCGCCCTGCTGCCCACACTCCTCCTAATGCACCCCAGGATCCCATCGGCTTTCTTGGCAACCAGTGCACACCGCTGGCTCATGGTCAACCTGTCGTCTAAGTTCTTGGTCTAAAAAGCCTCTCAAGGTATTTCCTTTTTCTCCTCTCTATTTCCCACAACGCCTGTGAATCAGGCTCTGTCTGCTGATCACCACCAGACAGAGCAATCGCAAGGCCACTCTGATAGCAGGTGAAAAATGACTCAGGTCCACACGACGTCAGGCAAGTGACATCCGCTGATGTATTCACTAAACAATCTCCACGTGTGCTCTCAACAGGCTTGCAGGGACGTTTTTCACCTCCCACAGCCTCCCTGCATTCACTGCTTGGGCGCTGCGCAAAGCCCAGCGCGGAGGAAGGATCCTGGCCGCAGAAACGCCGCTGCGATGCCCTCCCGATGTGCCACGCTCACCTGCCCGGCCTTCCCCCGAGACGCGGGCAAGCTGCAAAACCACCAAGCGAAGGGCGATCCTGAGCCATCCACACGCGGAGCTGCGGGACGCAGCCTGCGCACGGAAGCGTGCCATTAAACTGCTAAGTCAGCTTAATTAAGCACTCCCGACCTGCCGCTGCACCTAGCCGTCCGCAGGAGCTGCCCCAGCCCACGACACAAGACCCGGCGTCTCTCCTCCTCGTCTCAAGGACAGCAGGGCAGCTAGAGAAGCACGAGCCCTGAAAGCATAATAATCACAGAATCATTAAGGTTGGAAGAGACCCCTAATTTCATCAAGTCCAACCGTCACCCCAACACCCCCACGCCTGCTAAACCCTGTCCTCAAGTGCCACATCCACACATGTTTTGAACCCCTCCAGGGATGGGGATTCCCCCACTGCCCTGGGCAGCCTGGTCTAAGGCCTGACCACTCTGCCAGTAAGGAAATTTTCCCCAATATCCCATAGAATCGCAGAATCCCAGCATGGCGGGGGTTGGGCGGGCCCTCTGTGGGTCAGCCAGTCCAACCCCCTGCCCAAGCAGGGTCACCCAGAGCAGGCTGCACAGCACCGCGTTTTATATCTCCAGAGAAGGAGACTCCACAACCATCTGAACCCCCCCTGTTGCAACTTGAGGCCATTAAATAAACTAAGCTGAAAAAAACCATCAGGTCTCGGCCTCAACAGCAGCTCTTGCAGCCTGAGAGTGGGATCTCTTCACCGCAGCGAGACGACAGGCCGTGTTCACTTCTCTCTTGCAAACGTACATGTTTTTCCAGAGAGTTAGAGAAGAACCAAATATGCAGCTCAGCCTTATTTCAGGAAGGGAGAAAGCCAGCCAGCACATGCAAACAGCACGAACCACACACTCTGCAGAAAGCACTTCCTATCACAGAGAAAAAGCCACCACACCGCACAGAAACCGTCCTGGCATTGTACGCTGCGCCTCACTCTGCGGAACACGATGTCACTTCACGTTTCAGCCCTGCTTACTCATTAAAAGGGCGCAGAACACACCAGTAAAGCCAGTGCCGGGCACTGGGTGCTGGGGAGTGGCGTGCGCCCTGCCAGCAGCAACGCTTCCAGCCCGCTCCCACAGCACCGGGACGGCACGGGCTGCCGCGCTCCGGCAGTGCCGCAGGAACCGAGGAATTCGGAGCTGTTATTTGCCAGCTAACAAGCAAGGTAATTCGATTTGACACCAGCTCCCAGCCCGGGACGGAGGGCCGGCGCCTTCCACCCCGGCAGAGAACTGAAGAAACTCTGTGCTCGTGTGTCGGAGGCACGTCTGCAGCGTAACACGCTCTTACAGGCAACTGCCCATAAAACTCTGGGTGTATATATGTGGGGTGTGTATACCCATATATGTGGGAGGGGAGGTTTAAAATATGTATTCACATACCCACTCTGCACGAACAGCCTGAACTGGTCGCCCTGCCGGGCCTGGGACCCCGGCGATGGGGAGCTCCGCACTGCCAGAAAGGGCAGCCACAAGCCCCTGGCCAAGAGCAACGTCACCTCCTGCTCCCCTCAATCCATCCCCAAGTTTACTCGAATTTACAGCTTGAAAAACCCGAAAGCACGCCGGCAAGCACACCGCCGTCCCGTCGCAGCGGAGCGCAGGTCACAGCCGGCACAAAAAGGGCACAGCAGACCATCAGCCCGCGCTCGCTTCTCTCCCAAGTCCTAAACCTCTGTCTCCAGGGACTGTGTTAAGTCATCTTTTCTTAAAGAAACGCCCCCTCTACGGCGAGCAATCCCCTTCCAGGCTAAACCACGTGCACCAAAAAAAGAAAAGAAAAAATGAAAAAGGCCGTTCTCCTGCTTATCTGTGTTGTTAATCTGCCGCAACCGCTCAGCGGCTG